TGGAGCGGGAGTCAGCAAAGATCATGTTCCGAATCAGCGGCTCAAAAACTAAAATCATGCGCATCGGATATGCCCGCGGACGAGTACCCATAACCATCGGCCAACAGCGAATCGAAATGGTCGATCGATTTACCTACCTGGGCAGCGCCATCTCAGCGGATGGCGACACGGACCACGACGTTGTCTACTGTATTGGAAACAAGGCAACGGTCATGCGACGCCTCCAACCACTTTGGTGCACGAAAACCATCGCCCTCGAGATCAAGGTACGGCTGCTCAACTCCATCGTCATTCCAACGGCTACCTACGCCTGCGAAACGGCCAAAACCATCCACCGCCTTAATACGTTCCATCAACGATACCTTACGTCAACTCGCGCAAATCGTGGTCGAGCGTCGAATGCAGTTTGCCGGACACGTCCTCCGACAGCCGCCAACCAGGCTCCCACGAATGGGCATGCTTTGGAACCTGCAGCAAGGAACAAGGAAGCAAGGACGCCCCAAGATCACGTGGCGAAGGACATTCATCGAGGACCTGAGAGCCGTCAACCTCTCTTGGGACGAAGCCGCAATCGCCGCAGCCGATCAAGCACGATGGAGATCGCTTGCCGCCCAATATAATAGATTGTGTAGTTGTCTATAGCTCTGCATCATGCTTGAAAATTGGTCTCTATTTGCACTTTGAATATAGAGAGAGCACTTATTGTCCGCACTTAATACGACTAAGAAAGAACTGTTGTTTATTTTTAGTTACCGTATTGTCCCGAATATAAGACGATATTTTTTTCTTGGAAATACATCTGAAAAAACGCGGTCATCTTATATTCAGGGTCTAGACTTTGACATGTCAATAATACACCCACAACAATAGGTGGCGCCAAATACGCATAAAACGAGTGTGCCATGAAATACGTAATGTAATGCGTGTTGTAAATATCGCGAGTAAAAACAAAAGAGAAAGAAAACCTTACAGCTGCATGAGGCATGACTGTCACGTTAGCCTGATGGCACCAAACGCCCTTTGTGATTTTAAAACGTAAGACAGAAGACAAAATGTGTTTTACTGAGAAAAAACAAGATTTGTTTTTTAAAAAGCCTTTTTCCAAAAGGTACATTTGGAAAAAGGGGGGGTCGTCTTATAATCAGGGTCGTCTTATATTCGGGCCAATATGGTATTTATACTTCATATACTTCGTTTTTATTTATATTCAATTTGTGAAAAGGAGTTCAGTTAGGAGGTCAAACGTTCTAGAAGCTCATAATTCATGTACAGTTCTAAGGTCTGAAGAGACTCACATGAAATCATACAGGAGAGAAGCCAGTCAGTTGAACAAAACTTTTTACAGTGCTTGAGTGTTGTTGTTTTTACTGCATATGATAATTCATACTCAGAAAGTAGAACTGAAATGACATTTATTACAAGATGATTAGTTAAATAAATTTTTCCAGTCATGTATTTGGTCATTAAGAATTTTTTTTTTAAATGTGTAAAAATCTTGTGTCTTGAGATAAGTGTCGGCATGATAATCAAACAACAAAAGACTCTTGACAGAACGGCATTTAGCTTTTATAAGAATTTATATAGTGTAAATTGTTCCCTACCATCACATTCACATATATGAAACCAATAAATAAATTACTACTAAGAAAGAACACATATTTCTTCATTGATCTAGTCACTTGATTCTGCTCTCAAAATGCACCAGATTTATGCATTTTAATTTAAAATGAACTAAATTTTCTTATACCCGCAGAACCCCCTAGACTAGAGGAACCAATGTGCACCCATCATCACAGTCTCACAAAATCCTGTGGGGACACTGGGAATGTAAAGGAAACACTGTAGGATTGATTGGCTGTCTCAATGTGTGTGTGTATGCCAGTTTACCTTACTATTTGCGTGTGGACCATGTACGGCATTAAATACATTTCTCCAGTAAAGCATAATGATTAAGGGGGGCCTCACACAAAGAGCAGCCTAGGGGCCCCTGACCACCTTAAATGATGATGCTTTAAACATGCTTGGCTCAGACGTTTCCAATCTATTAATCATCACCCGCAGGTGGTCTGGTTTCATTAGGCGGTCCGGATTCAGTGCTAAGACTTAAGTTTTCATTCCGTCTTTTAAAGACTGATTGAGGTTTGTTTCACTATTTTCAAATTCAACTTTCAAATTATTGCCCAAACTCGGTCCTGGAGGGCCTGAAGAGTTTGCTCCAACCCCACTTAAACACACCTGAAGCAGCTAATCAAGCTCTTATACTAGAATCTTCCCGGCAGGTGTTTTGAGGCAAGGTGGAGCTAAATTCTTTAGGACACCGGCCCTCCACGGCCAAGTTTGGGTACCCTTGATGTAAAGACACCTAAATTCCACTTGAGAAGCACTTCTGTGCCACCTTTGCAGTGTAAATGTGAAAAAAAAAAGATTAACTAAATAATTTGTATAAATAAGTAAATAAATTTAAATTTGAATATAGATTAGAATTTGTGGAATGTAAAAGATCGAAAAAGATCTGAGAATGACCTGTATGTGCACTTACACTATCTGTACTCTAGAGAGAAGCATCGTGTTATTCACTATATTATATGATCTCCACATGCATTCAAACACTTCAATCCAAAGATCACTTTTATAATCCAGATTATAGTTGGTTATGCAGAGTTACTGCAGTCATTTAAAAACCGGCGCATGTCTGAGGTGATTAGATGTTTCATGTGACTGTAGTTTAGTTTGGGCTTTGCTCAGGCCTTAATTAGAACTGCACACACTTCAATAAACCAAATCCAAAACCATCAGATAAATCAGTCCACATACTTTATTGTGCCAAGACTTTGGAAGTAGGCCTGTACTTTGGATAGTACAAACTGACAGATAATAAGGATGCAGTTTGAACTGGATATCTATGCATTGCACCCACTTTTTATTTTTATCCTGCTCTTTTACTTCATTTGATTGACACTTCAATTACCTGCTCATGCTTGCGTTTTTCAGAAAATCCCTTCTGAAAGACATTAGTGGGTGGGAAAGAATTGATTAATCATGTAAACAAATCAGAAATAGTCCAATTAATTTTCCCTCTTTATTTCCTGTTGACATGCCTCAGACTAGATGGCATAAAGCACTTTCACTGGTGCAATGGAATGAGGAAAATGCTGTTGTTTGCTCTCACTATCAGCTTAAACGAATATTTACAGTCGTCGTTCATTCACTACCTGTTGTTTTTGAAATGGTTGAAATGGGTGATTATATATTAACCCTTAAAGAAACAAATGTAGTGTTAAGAAATGTTAACTGCATCCAAACAGCAGATTCATAACGTAAGTGCAACTGATTATTATTTGTCCATCCAGGGTTATGTTTTATTCACAACTCCGAGGTTTCATTTGGGAGAATTTGATAAGAAAGAGATAATTTCTAAAACTTTAGAAGAGATTAGATGTGACCGGGATCTTTTTCTCAGGAAAAACTTGTTTCTTCTTCATTTCATCTTAACGGATGTCTAAGAAAACATAGTTAAAGCAGCACTATGTAACTTTTTCTGTGTTCAAAATTTGCTAAATGTATATAATGAGCGAGTACATCATGAAATCATCTTCCAAACCGCGTTTTTGTCTTATTCCGAATCACTACGGTACACTTATAATAAGTACTTATATTTGGACTATTGTAGCCTGGTCGGGTCGTCACCGCTGCGGAGTAACACATACCTGCGTGAATCGCCATAGACATAAACTTAGAGAAGTAGCTCCGGTTGGAATGTTCTTCCGCGGGATGTGTGCAGTTCTGTTTATTAACCGCTAGAGCGCCAAAAGTTACATAGTGCTGCTTTAAAGGACTAATTCTTCATGTAAACGAATTTTCTTATTAGCTACTGAGTAATTGAAGACTTGAAGCGAGTGAACCCTGTGTGAGATTGAGGTCTGTTTTACATTAGTCAGTCTTCTGAAGGCCTTCTATTCGCAGTGCTGTGGGTCCATCATATAGGTCAGAATCTGAGTTTCTCTGTTGTCTGTCTGTGCATCTGATTTCATGAACATGTGACCTCTACAGCGATTGACACGAGGTTTATGACGTACCATAAGATTTACATGGTTTGGATGAGGGTGAACTTTGTTCATTCTTACAGAACAGGCCAAAAAGAACAGCTGACATGCAAATATAGCTTAAAAATGGCAATGAATATTGAATAAAGAGGGTTTAATCTATCTGTCTGTCTGTCTGTTCATCCATTCGACTGTCTATCATCCATCCATCCATCCATCTGTTTATCTATCAATCGATCATGTCTATTTTTAAATACATATGATAACAGTAGTTTCCTGTGGTTTGCAGATGACACTCTGTATTTACCTGCTGAGTAAAGGTTATTTTAGCCTGTAATTGTCCTGCGGTTCTGCTGAGCGACTTGAGGTTTTGAGGTGGTTCAGTTCAGTAATGCCAGATAAACCTTGTGAACCCGGTGTTTAGAGTTTGACCTGAGGACAACATTACGAATAGCTCATATCACCACACACACACACGCTCATAATGCTGACTAGACTCCTCACGGCTTGCATAAAGTTTATGAAATCACAGAGATTGTCTTCATGCACTATGAACGCTCTATATGTGATATCTAGAAGAGAATGACCTCTGGAAGACAAATATGACATTTAGTATTTGCTTGGATTTATTTACAGATTTTATTTCTACAAAACACATCAGAAGTTCTTAAAGGGATAGTTCATCCAAAAATGAAAATTCTTAGGAAAGAGCAGACTTGAATCACGAACTCCTATCAACATATTATACATTAATATGTTTTGAGCCGATACCTTAAAAAATATGTTATTTAAAAAATACAGTACAGAAATATCCTATATGCATTTACTATTAAAAATATAACATTTAAATTCAAAGACATCAATAGCCTTACATCTCATCTAGAGTGAACTGAATTATTGATTCATGTTGATGAATGAGAAAGAATGTGCAATTTGTAGAAAACGTGCAAAAGATTTCTTTGCCTTAAGGTGCACAAAGTTGATTTTAAACTGCAGGCTTTTCCATTTAAGTGTAATTTAAAAACACTAAAAATATTCCATATGAAAACACATAGGGCTGCTCTGATTGCACATATATCTTATGTTCCAGCAGTTACACAGACAGATATATAGGAACAAGGCACAAATAAAAACAAATGCTCCCTATTCACAGCCCTATTTGGTCTTCATATAAGGACAAGAGCAGCAAAATGCCCCAACCGCTCAAAAGTCCCAGATTCTGCAGGAAAAATATCAGCCAAGGTCTTTTAGTGTCCACATGAACCAGGGAAGGAAGCTAGATGACAAAAACAGAGTTAAATTAGCAAACACTGCTGCTGTTTTTGACTGCTGAACACGCTGAGAAGTTTGAAAGAGAAAACTGTTCACAGCTTGATAATGCGGTTATGTGAGAAAGCATTTTCGACTGAATAGATTGTAACGTACCATGTCTGCCAGACCCACGTACAGAAAGAGGCCGGCGGTGACAGCCGAAATCCACTCCTTAGCAACCGTTTCCGTGGAGACGGACAGCGCGATGTACAGACCGACGAAGGAGGTGAGAGAGCTGCCCACGTTCAGCAGCAGAGCCCGCTTGACCGACAAACCACAGTGCAACAGGATTGCAAAATCACCTGAGACCAGAGAAAATAAATTCAGATGAAGCACATAAAGAAGAATCACTATTGAGATCTCTTTCATGTTATTAAATAAATGGAGACTTTTGCTGAGGTTTTCAGCTGAACTCTTAAGAAACCTTGAACAAAAGAAAACCAAGCTTTTTTTTGGGGGGGGGGGGGTGG